TATATATACTATATATATATATATATATATATATATATATATATATATATATATATATATATATATATATATATATATATATATATATATATATATATATATATATAAATGTGCGTGTGGATAGATGTACTCTCATATTTCAGATTCGGGCCGACACTACTGTCTCAAAATGACTGCTAGTGCGGATTTTCCCAAACGAGGCCTCCAATTTGTGAACACTACTCAATACACCGTGTAGACACACCCAGTGACGCAATGCCCGGCAGCTTCATCCCGTCTTTGAAGAAGACTTCGTCTTTCTTGTCCGAGTACGATCCCTGTACACGCGCCCATTGCCGCACCACACAGTTCTTGCCTACTATCGCATTGATGATGCAGGCATTCTCTTCGATTAACGCATCGGCCAGCACTATACTATTACACACCCGAGCGCCTGCGTAAATGCGCACTCGTGGGCCTACCACGGCGTTGGGCCCAATCTGAGTATAAAACCGGATACAATTTCTTTTTAATAATATACATGGCAATCAGAATTTTTTGTATTTGTTTTTAGTATGTATGTATGGCATTTGACATTACAGTGTGGTAGACATAGCCTTCTGAAATAGACAGTACGTTTATATCACTATTACGGTACTCGTTCTCGTCTCACTCTGTTAAATTTTCTACTTTATAATTGCTCATGGAGTATGATATTCATATCTCCGAGGCTCCCGGTCTTAATAATCGTGCGGCACACGATTGGCACACAATTGGCAAACAATTGGCACAAACCCTAAAACGCGATCGAAATAAGATCAATACATCCCGACCACACATAAACAACAGTCAATAACTGACGGAAAACCCCAACAAAATCGGGCCCGATACCTTAGCGGCTGGGTCCACACTGGCTGTCTTGTGCACGATACAATTGCCCACCACGGTGTAATCCACGGCACTGTTCTTGGTCAGAAGAGGCGAGCCTTCACACTGATAACGCGACAATATCTCTCGATTCGCTTGCACAACATTCCTAGTACAATAGCAGCGCGTGAAAGAAGAACAACAACAATCAGTACCTTCGTGAGAATGAATGCGTAAACGACAACTGTGATTCATCTCAGATACCGTGTGCAGCAGACACGTCCACTGTTCAGTCCTGTGGCTTGACCACTTACACCTGGTGTGTGTCCGAGGAGACCTATCCGAATCTTCGGGCCTTTAGAAAAGAAATATGAGGCCTAAAAGTGGTCTTATTAACTCCGAGAAAGACAGTACATACTCAGAGGTCTTGACCTGCGTCCAGGACTCGCCTTCATCGTATCGGAATACGTATGTTTTGTGGGAGCCACCGAGCGGTATCAACACATCCTGGGATAGGGATAGGGATAGAGATAATTCGTTGACATCGCAAAGACTAATATAAGCACGTGTGTGTACATGTACAAATGTGTAAGCATCAATACATATATAGAATCTACCATAAGATACCCGTGTGAGACTGACAACGGGTTTCTAGTGGCTCGAAAATGTATACACCCACAAACTCGGAGTTTTTGTTTTGCCCTGATACTAAATTTCTAAGTGGCTATCGTACTTGTACTGACCTGCACAAGTGTGCATACGCGTATGCATGCAGGAGGATATTCGTTCATGTGCTCTTGCTGATTTGGGTAATCCTAACGAAATAGAGAAAGACATGCATCCCCTTTCCATTTCAGGTAAGGATCCGAAAACCAAGGCAAAAGGTACTTTTGTACATTTTCACATCGATAGCAGCCAGACATATCTGAATAAACATACATAAAACATATACCTTGATTATAAGTATACGTTTATGATAAGCGAATGGATAGAAACATATACTTTTTCGAAGTATGAACGAGCCAAGACAAGCGAATGTGTACCTTCTCCAGTGAGATGCGGTAACTGTTGGCGCTTGCCATTGGCGTGTTGTAACGAGATATCGAGTGTCGGCGGCGAGGGTTTCTGAGAAGCGTAGTTTCCTGTTCTATTGTGATAGCCTGGAGAGAGAGAAAAAAGCCAATTGTGCGTTTGAGTGCTTATATATATATATATATATATATGTATAATATA